TTAACAGCAACCCAGCAATATGCTGAGAAAGGTTCGCAAGTCCAGAAAGCTTCGTTGCACGAAGTGGCGTAGGTTCATCAGACTCCTGAGTTTAGCGTTTAGGGTTTATGGTTTAGGATTTAGGGTTTAGGGCTTTGGAAGGCCTAGGCTTTGGGTTTATTTACTGCTTAGGCCCTTCTCCGGGAAGGGGATCTGCGGAGCAGTCAAGCTCCCCTGCGGAGAAAAAAAAAACAAAGAGGAAGACAACTAGCAATGAGTGGGCGCGACACATGGGTGGTTGTCAAAATTATGGTCCCTTTTTGGATCCCTATTATAATACGGCACCTAATATTCAGGGTACCCAGAAAGGGACCATAATTTTGACAACCACCCACATTCTAAAGACAAAGGACCCTTTGTGCCAGAACCTCCAAGAACGGCCCAGGTATTTGGAAGGGACCGCCAAACAGGAAGCCTGATCTCTCAAGTGTGGTATCCGGAGAGTACTTGGAGGGTCGGGGGCCTTGCAAGTAGGTTAATGACCCCTATATAACCTCAATAGTAACCCTTCTTATCCCCTTTATCAGCCTACTTACTAAGTCCCCCTGACCCTTCCAGTAGCTAACCTCCGGTTGGCTAGTCAAGAGTCTGTCCTTTTGCAGCTCTGCAAATCCGGCCTGGCATTGAGGGCTTGGCCTTCTAGCGTTCAGGGGCTTAGGGTTGATGTGTTGCAGCTTAGGCTTTGTTAAGAACTTTTTTGGCAGTAATTTCGCAGTAGGGGCATTCAGGTTCAGGCATCGGGATGGGTCTCCCCCAACACCCAATACGCGCTTCAGGGTTTAGGGTTTAGGGTCTGAATCTGCAACCCCAACCTCTTCTCATCTTAGTAGGGTAATATATTATATAGGTATTATACAGGTATTATATAAGGATAATATTATATAGGTAAGATATAAGGATTGTATTGTATAGGTATTATATCATAGAGGTATTCTATAGGGATACTCTGAATGTTCACCGGGAACAGGTCTATAGGAGTTGACGTGTCAGATTTACAGGTTCGGGCTTTATTGCTTGATTGCTCAAAGTTTAGCGATAAGCCCGACGAACTTGAATCCCTAAATCTTAAAAACCCCTAACTCCTCAGCCGACAAACTCCCGATGTCGATTGAATTATGATATTTCTAGCCTTTTGTTGCAAACGGTTTTCCTTACCAGAGCTTTGGTGAAGCTCCTTAAATGCCTTGTGCAAGCCACATCAAGTTCAAATGCAAACATCCTGCGAAGAATGGAGACCCCTGAACACCTTAAATGCGTAAAACCTTCAAGACTCAACACACGAAACCCCAGATTCCCATATATTGCTATACCGTTCAAAGCCCGAAGCCCAAACGCTAAACCTTAAACCAATGTTCGAATGGAACGGGCCGAGCAGCCTTCCGATCGATTGAACCTGGGGGACCATGGTTTGCCATCCCAGCCATCGCCCAAACCCTTACAGTCCACCAGAAGGCCACCTGAGGCTGGGTTTAGGGTTCAGGGTTTAGGGTTTAGGGTTCAGGGTTTGCGGTTTAGGGTTCAGGCTTCAGGGCTTAAGTTTTCTGATGGCAAGGGATCAGGAAATGGTTGACGGGCTTCGGGAATACCAGGAGCCCTCGGCAAACAGAAACTATGTGGGTGCTATTTGGAGGACTTGGGCTCTACACAGGTTTCTAGGGGTTCAGGGAATAGCAGCCAGGGTTTAGGGCTAACTAACCTTAAACCCTACACTCCTAAACCCTAAATCCCCAAACCTTCAACCTTAACCCCTGAACCCCTCAACCCCTAAACCCTCAACCCTAAGATTTAGGGTTTAGGGATTTAGGGTTTAGGGATTTAGGATTTAGGGATTTAAGGTTTAGGGATTTAGGGTTTAGGCATTTGGGGTTTAGGGATTTGGGGTTTATGAACTTAGGGATTTAGGGTTTAGGGGTTGAGGTTTAGGGTTTAGAGATTTCATGCGGGAAACGGTGCCTAATCCCTAGCCCTTGAAGCATGTTTCGAGCTTTGAAAGACCAACCAGTTCCTCTTTGTGTGACGTGTCGGGACGATACGGAAAACCAATAGCAGCTCACGTCTTGATAACAAACGAGAAACTCACATGAGCTCGTCTAAACTCCTAGTATCCCCTTATAACCCCTATAATGCTCCCTTGTATATATATATATGTATATATGTAACCCCTCTTTTCCGGAGTTTAGTCTGTAGATCACTGTAAGATCAAGGAAAACTAGTAATTTGAAATGGAAACATGGGCAGCCTAAACCATTGGGCCTGCATGAGGATTGCTTGGAGATAGTATAATTAATTACCATAGCCATAAAAATGGTGGAGCATGTCTCTTGCTAAAGGCACGATCTCTGAACAACTACAGTGCTAAGTTGAGATTCCGCCCCTCCCAAGAATTGAGCCCCGAAACCCTAAATCCTACACTTTAAACCCAAAACGCTAAACCCTAAACCCTGCACCACAAACCCTACACCCACAACCCTAAACCCGACCCCCTAAACCCTACACCCCCAACCCTGCACCCTCGGCCCTGCGTGCGCCCTGGACTCTGGGCCCCCCCCCCCACCTTCTTCTAGCTCTTGCACTGCCTGGTAAACTTCATCGAAGATGTAGTCGTCAAAAACCTCACGCAGTTTGGGGTTTAGGGTTTAGGGAGCTAAGGCCCTTGACGTAAGGCCTGTGCTTTAGGGGCCGTACCCAGAGCAACGCTAGAACTCCCTCCATGTGAAACACCACAGGCCACTGCTAAACAATAAAGGCTTAAGGATTTAGGGATGAGGGTTGAAGGTTGTAGGGATTTAGGGTTTAGGGTTTAGGATTATGGGGCTTATGATGGGGGTTCTTGGAGGCAGCAAGCAGGTAGCCTTCATGAGTCAAAAGACCATCCAATTATGGAGATTCTAATGCAGACTATCTGGGGATAGTCGGTAAACTTCCTAAGTTGAAAGAGCGCCTAGACCTAGGTACAGCAAGCCTTAAAACTTGTGAACCCAACTCATCCGATGGAGGTCTGAGCAGGCGAATATACGCATTACTGGGTCGCGATTTATGATATTTAGCGTGACGAACTTGAACAGTTTGTGGAACAAAAATTTGAAACTTGTTTGTTGGGATCTTCAATATGCATGGCCCATCACCTATAGCTGGCCTTTATTAAAAAAGAACACAAAAAAAGAATCCCGCTCAAGGGAAGCCTATCGATGTGTTGGGACAGTGAAGGGAATTTTTTTGGAGGTTCCATGTTTGCAGATTTTTGCCTAAACCCCTATACCTTAAACCCTAAACCCTCAACCCTGAACTCTAAACCACCTAGGTAAGCTGACAGTAGCGTAAAGCTTTAGGGTTTAGGGCGATGAGTTTCGCCTACAACCCCCTCCTATACAACCCCCATCCCCCCCCCCCAAAGGTTCCGCTTAAGTAGGCATATTCAAGGATAATCTAGGTTCGTTCAGGTTAATCCAGGGCTAACCTGGGGGAGGTAGAAGGAAAGCGGTTTAGGGTTTAGGGTTTAGGGTTTAGGGTTTAGGGTACAGCAAGCAGAGCATGGATATTGGAAATAATTGCAGCACGGCGGATGGAGGGAATCTTGTACCGCGTTATACCCAATGCCTAGGGAAGTATGTCACTTCTGAAATCCCAATTAGTGCAAGATTTCCTCCATCCACCATAGGACCCTCACCATGACGTACATACATACAAACCATGCAGACAGCAACCACAATAATCAAAATGTCAAACTTGGATGCATTACTAGTCAATGGTTAGCAAACCTACAATCCAGACCAACCAACAAAACGCAGATGAACAACCAGGAACTGCAGCGAAGGAAAGTAGCGCAGGGCGTTGCGCGCGTCAGAGAGAACGTTCACATATTCGTGGTTCGCATCGATAATCGCCACACTTACCTCAAGGAGTCAGGATTCGAGGCTGAAGGATTTGCGGCAGGTTGTTCCGGGCTGTCAGAAAGGAATCGCGGCATGGATACCTATTGTAGCCCCTCAATGACCCCAAAGAACACAATCGTTTGCATGTCCTTTGCCCGCTCCCCAAACCCCCCAAACACTAGCTTCCATTCTTTGATCCCCTGAATCCTCGACCCTGAACCCTAAATGCTACTTCCCATTGTCCATTCCCTCATTCGCTAGCAACAACCAGAAAAGTAAGGGCTAGGAGCGCAGGGCTTGGGCTTTAGGGGAAGTAGGGCTTAGGGCTTAGGATTCACCTGTGGTCGAGTATGGGCCCTTAATCCAGAGGTCCTTGTACTCTTACATACCCAAAGAAAAAAAACGACAAAATCCATTACGGGCCAAAATTTAGGACCCTGGAAACAAGCAAGCAGGTAGCGCCTCAATTGCGGATATTGATGGCGAGGGGCTCCGGAGAATGCCTACACCCTAAGGCTGTTCACCGCTTGTTCCATTTGAGACCAGGAACTCTAGTTTCCCACAGACACGCCTTACACAGCCCTTACATACCTACCTTCTCCACATACGAGCTATAGTCTAAACTCCTAGTATCTCCCTTAATGACCCCTATAACACTCCCCTATATGATCAAATCCCCTATATAAGATGTTACACTTAAACTACAGTACCATGTTCCCTACATAATCCGTGTGTTAAAGTACCCACCTGGTCACTCCCCGCGTGAACAACACCTTACTGTAGAAAGCAGGTCCTTCGACCTCTTCGGTCAGCAAACGCCTGAAAGACCCTAGATTTTCTAGGTTCGTCAGTAACCCCTTAATGATAAAAGCACCCTTTTCCTAATGGTCAGCTTTAATCAGGAGACCCCAAAGTAAAAAGGGGGAAAGGGCACGACTGAGGTACCTGGGTTTAGACCCAAAACCCTAAATCCTAAACCCTATATACTCCCCATATAACCCTAAACCCTAAATCCTAAACCCTATATAATCCCCATATAACCCTAAACCCTAAATCCTAAACCCTAGTTTTTCGGCCAAAAATTGTGGTTTGCCCGCGGCCATGGCAGATCAAATCCCTTGGCCCTGCCAGTATTTTCTACATCTACATGATCATACCTACTTCCAACATCCTT